GTCTCATCATGTTTCAGGTCTGTTCATCATGTTTCAGGTCTACTCCTTCTGTCTTCATCATGTTTCAGGTCTACTCCTTCTGTCTTCATCATGTTTCAGGTCTACTCCTGTCTTCATCATGTTTCAGGTCTACTCCTTCTGTCTTCATCATGTTTCAGGTCTACTCCTTCTGTCTTCATCATGTTTCAGGTCTACTCCTTCTGTCTTCATCATGTTTCAGGTCTACTCCTTCTGTCTTCATCATGTTTCAGGTCTACTCCTTCTGTCTTCATCATGTTTCAGGTCTACTCCTTCTGTCTTCATCATGTTTCAGGTCTACTCCTTCTGTCTTCATCATGTTTCAGGTCTACTCCTTCTGTCTTCATCATGTTTCAGGTCTACTCCTCCTGTCTTCATCATGTTTCAGGTCTACTCCTTCTGTCTTCATCATGTTTCAGGTCTACTCCTTCTGTCTTCATCATGTTTCAGGTCATGTTTCAGGTCTCCTTCTGTCTTCATCATCATGTTTCAGGTCTACTCCTTCTGTCTTCATCATGTTTCAGGTCTCCTTCTGTCTTCTCATGTTTCAGGTCTACTCCTTCTGTCTTCATCATGTTTCAGGTCTCCTCTGTCTTCATCTGTCTTCATCATGTTTCAGGTCTACTCCTTCTGTCTTCATCATGTTTCAGGTCTACTCCTTCTGTCTTCATCATGTTTCAGGTCTACTCCTTCTGTCTTCATCATGTTTCAGGTCTACTCCTTCTGTCTTCATCATGTTTCAGGTCTACTCTTCTGTCTTCATCATGTTTCAGGTCTACTCCTGTCTGTCTTCATCATGTTTCAGGTCTACTCCTTCTGTCGTCATCTTCTCATGTTTCAGGTCTACTCCTTCTGTCTTCATCATGTTTCAGGTCTACTCCTTCTGTCTTCATCATGTTTCAGGTCTACTCCTTCTGTCTTCATCATGTTTCAGGTCTACTCCTTCTGTCTTCATCATGTTTCAGGTCTACTCCTGTCTTCATCATGTTTCAGGTCTTCTTCTGTCTTCATCATGTTTCAGGTCTACTCCTTCTGTCTTCATCATGTTTCAGGTCTACTCCTTCTGTCTTCATCATGTTTCAGGTCTACTGTCTTCATCGTGTTTCAGGTCTACTCCTGTCTTCATCATGTTTCAGGTCTACTCCTTCTCTCTTCATCATGTTTCAAGTCTACTCCTTCTGTCTTCATTATGTTTCAAGTCCACTCCTGTCTTATCATGTTTCTGGTCTACATCTGTTTCATTATGTTTCAAGTCCACTTCTGTCTTCATCATGTTTCAAGTCTACTCCTTCTGTCTTCATCATGTTTCAGTTCTACTCCTGTCTTCATCATGTTTCAAGTCTACCTCTTCTGTCTTCATCATGTTTCAATTCTACTCCTGTCTTCATCGTGTTTCAAGTCTGCTTCTTCTGTCCACCTTTGAATCTTCGTCAGGGGTTTCATGTCCATTGAGTCTTATTCGGGTTTCATGTGTCTTTTAATCGGGTTTCATGTGTCTTCGTCACATACTGCATCATCGGGATTCATAACTGCCTCTTGTATCATCGGATTGCAAGTCTGTTTCTTGCACCCGTATGTAATGTTATGACGACTTACTGTCGGCTTAATATCATGAAAACTGGGGAATAGGAGAGACGAGTAGCTCTGTTCTCTAATACGACCCAAGATCGACTGACTCACTTGATGAAAACAACCCTTATTGACCTCCAGGAAGTCTCGTGTTTTCTTTCCCTATTGCCAATCATTATAAAAGACGAGCCTGGAGGGTGGAAATTTTTAATCTATACTTCTGGAACGCATAAACACGTCCGACTGCTGTGTGAAATTAGCAAAAATAATATTTAGACCCCGGGTGATAAGAAAGTTACGATGGGCGAAGGACTATAGAGCCGGAGGCCCGCGGTGATAAGAAACGATGATGACAGGGGACAAAGAAACAAAGGGCAACGCTTGCATCTATACACGCCTAGGAATCTGTAGTCAGTTTCTCACAGAATCGGTGATGATGACCGGAGGCCAACTTGTGGATGAATCTGTGATGATGACAGGAATCGGTGTGATGATGATTATGGAATCGGTCGATGATGATCGGTGATGATGGAATCTCGGTGATGACAGGAATCTGTGATGATGACAGGAATCGGTGATGATGACAGGAATCGGTGATGATGACAGGAATCGGTGATGATGACAGTACCATTCGTCGATCCGCACATCCCTCACAACATACCAGGATGTTACAGTGACTAGTGAGTGAGTGTGGTTTTACGTCGCTTTTAGCAATATTCCAGCAATATCACGGCGGGGAATGCCAGAAATGGACTGCGCACATAGTACCCATGTGGGGAATCGAGCCCGGGTCTTCGGCGTGACGAGCGAATGCTTTAACCACTAGGCTACCCACCGCCCCTACTAGATGTTACAGAGTATTAAGCATCAAGTATGCTGACTCTGAGGGTGTGGGTTCGAATCCTGGAAAGGAATCAACCCAACACAAGTACTAGAATATGTACTTTGATAAGAAAGTGTAATCCCAAATATACCGTTGCACATTTAACCACTTTCTAAATGGCATTGTGTATTCGTTAATATGAACTATAACAGAACTTGTGAGGAATACACCAGTTGATTATTCTTTCGCGGGATCTTTTTTCTCCATTTGTGAACCTGCTCCAGTAATTTAACACTAATCTTCAAGCGCATCACAGGCAGCCTGGGTTGTTGTGCACAGACCCATTGATCGGGGGAGTAATGTCTGCGCTTTGATCATAATATCAAAGCATGGGAAAATACGCATTATTAATGGAGTATTATTAATATCATTATGTAGTCATAAAAATTTGTATATTATTTTAAATAACCAGATCCTGCAAATTCTGAAAAAATGTTACACGTTATACCCCAGAATAATACATCGTTCAAAGGACACGAGGAAGGTAATTTGGGAGTCTCAAAAATATTTCGGCTCAGACAGAAAAATATTCAGTCTCAAGCAAAATCCCCCCACCCACCTCCAGTATATTAAATGGTCTGTCCTTGCTGTTGCGCACTTCCTTTCATGGACACAACGGTACCATGATTGCTGGACACCTGTCACCGCCATCTAGCTCCCATTAATATTTCCTCATCTGCAAGTCTTACCAGTCTTTAGACTGGGTCGCGTCTTAATGGAAATCTGACCGGTGGTCTGTCTCTCCACCCCAGGCTTTTTCCGCGCTGGGGGTGACAGCCCTCCGCTCGCATTTCAGCTGCGTCAGTCTGTACAAAGGTGATATTTCACGCTTCGGAACCATTTTCCGTCCTGTCATCATTGCCCACTGTCTATGAATTAGCTGTATTGACAAATTAATTTCATAGCCTGAAGAGATAGGCTCGTTATGCTAGTATTCTATTCTTCGTGTAAACCGAAGTAACGTATTTATTCCAATGTTATCACTTTTCTTTAGACAAATGATGTAGAAAGATGGTACACTCTCTGAATATAAAGTCTCGTTATGCTAGTATATAATTTATTTTACGGCAGGTTTTCGTTTAAGCCGAAGTAACCTATTTATTCCAATGTTATCACTTTTCTTTAGACAAATGATGTAGAAAGATGGTACACTCTCTGAATTTAAAGTCTCGTTATGCTAGTATATATTCTACGGCAGGTTTTCGTTTAAACCGAAGTAACCTAATTACTCGAATGTCATCACTTTGCTGTACACAAATGATGCAGATAAATGGTTACACCCTCTCTGTCGAAGTTCCATTGGTCGTCTTCTTCATTCTTCTTTAGACAAATGATGCAAAAAGATGGTACACTCTCTGAATATAAAGTCTCGTTATGCTAGTATATATTCCACGGCATGTTTTCGTTTAAACCGAAGTAACCTATTTATTCCAATGTTATCACGTTTCTTTAGACAAATGGTGCATAAAAATGGTACACTCTCTGAATATAAAGTCTCGTTATGCTAGTATATATTCTACGGCAGGTTTTGTTTAAACCGAAGTAACCTATTTATTCCAATGTTATTTTTTTTCTTTAGACAAATGATGCAGAAAGATGGTACACTCTCTGCATATAAAGTCTTGTCATGTTAGTATATATTTTACGGCAGGTTTTCTTTTAAACCGAAGTAAACTAATTACTCGAATGTCATCACTTTGCTGTACACAAATGATGCAGATAGATGGTTACACCCTCTCCGTCGAAGTTCCATTGGTCGTCTTCTTCATCTTTGGAAAGGTTATCTATAAAATAGGTATTCGCCCAAGGCAATATAGATGCTGCCGATAAATAATTTCCTGAGGATTATATTGGCGTGAGAAATTTGTCCAAACATTTGTTTCGGTGAATGTATCTTCCGGGCAAAATTTACAAATGAAAATTGGATTTGACCCCACACTTATAAGTGAGAGTTTAGTTTGACGCCGCTTTTAGCCATATTCAAGCAATATCCACATTGCACCCATGTGGGGAATCGAACTAGGGACTTTCTGCGTGACGAACGAACGCTTTAACCCCTAGGTTTACACACACGCACGCACGCACGCACGCACGCACACACATACAAACGTTACCAGGCTGAAAACAGTCGCCTGTTGTGAAGTATTTGGTTGATTGATTGGTTTGTTGTTTTACGCCGCACTCAGCAATATTGCAGCTATATGGTGGCGGTCTGTAAACGATCGTGTCTGGAAATGACAATCCAGTGATCAACATCATGAGCATCGATCTACGCAGCAGGGATACGAAGACATGTGCCAACCAAGTCAGCGAGACTTACCACCCGGTCCCCAGTCGTCTCTTACGACAAGCATGGGTTACTGAAGATCAGTTCTAACCCGGATCTTCACAGGTACAAACATTACTAGGCTGAAAACGGTCGCCTGTGAAGTACTCATCGATATTACATGTGATATCTTATCTGATACCTATGATACCTATATATACAATACATCTATCCGCTTTTCGTTGTTTCACTTTAGCACGGACACGGGTGTAAGCATTCTTTATTTTGTCTGAAATATTCAGTAAAACAGTTATTTATTCAGTAAAACAGACATTTAGTTTTTAAAAATAATTCTATTTGAATAGCCGATTTCATAAACGTAACTATGGTGATGATTACTGGTTATCTTCGATTAAACTACAAATACCGTCCAATATTTTTATCCTCTCCAACGAGAGGTATTCTGTAGTCAGATATAGCAGCTACGGAGGGTTGCATCTTTCGAAAAGAGTCTAAAGAATCTCGGGTGTTAATCATTATAAAAGAAGTGATGCATTAGATAGTCAAGGAAGGATTGTAGTTGATTCGCTTGTAGTCAGTACGGGGTCTTTGACATGGTGAAGGTGTCGACGACCCTGTTGGACTTGCTGAGGATGTACTCGAACTGTATCTGCCACCTGGATGGGCGCATCAGCAGGTACCCGGTGTCGAACGTCGCCTCGTCGAATGCCCGCCACTTCACGAAGGGCATGAAGGTTGGGTCATTCAGTTCCGGGTTTCCTGCAACAGGAAGGGGAAATGTTGTTGAAATGTTAGGTTCAGTGAATGAGTATGGTTTTACGCCGCTTTTAACAATGTTCCTGCAACATCACGGCGGGGGACACCAGAAATGGGCTTCACAAATTTGTACCCATGTGGAAAATCGAACCCGGACCTTCGGCGTGAAGAGCGAATGCTTTAACTACTAGGCTACACAACCGCCATTGTTAGGTTCAATCTCATTAAAAGAGAATACTAACGACAATATTTCATAGGGGTAAAGGCATTCTAAAAGTCACATCCGTGATTAACATTGAACAAAGAGTTTGTAAAATAGCAATGAACACATAACAAACGTACTCCTATGTGGGCCGTAAGTAGGTCACGGCATTTCGCGAGACCTTAGTACTTCCGGTGACAAACAACGTTTCATACCTTTTCGGATGGTCTCATGGTTGTCAGTTGACAGTAAGGAACAGATTATCCTTGCAGGAATAACAAATTTCCGATCTAACCATTACCAAATTATTACGAATGTCAACAGCTGTGACAGCTAAGCATGGTCGTACACTTGGTCCGGTCTAGTAAAGTCATATTTGGCGGTCAAGCAAGAACTGAATATACGCATGTCACCGGAAATCTGGTACCGGAAGTAAGCTGGGTCCCGTCTCGCATATTGCAAGTTGGCGCGCGCTAAAGGTAACCACCTTAGAAGTAGCGCCTCGCGAGATTTACAGGCACTATTTCCGCCTATCACGAACACACCCGACAGTTAATGAACAGAGGTGGGTATCACGTCAATCCGATAGTGTGGTGATCAGACAAACCTTCCTGAGAAAACTTTGACTGCCCTGTCTAATTGCAGGGTTAATGAGATAATCAGACGTTAGCTTTCAAAACGATTCGACTTCACTTCTTCACCCCCTCGATTCCGAATATCGATAAACACAGAAGGAAACAGACACAAATTTTCCAAGGAAAGTACTCACTTTTGGCTGTAGATAAAGGGATATCAGGAAAGACAGCGTGTGATAAATATCAATAGGTATATAACAGTACAGCCTTTATTATTCACATATCGAACTTCCCGTTAATAATCGTTTAGAGATCCAGAATTCAGTTGCTCAGAGGAGCTGAAAGTTTCGCTCTATGAGCAAGTGAGTGAGTATAGTTTTACGCCGCCTTTAGCAATATTCCAGCAATATCACGACTGGGGACACCAGAAATGGGTTTCACACATTGTACCGATCAGTGAAATCGAACCCGGGTGTTCGGCGTGACGAGCGAACGCTTTAACCACTAGGCTACCCCACCGCCCCTATATGAACAACATGCTGATTGGATTGTCAGAATATCAACCTGATGCTACCACCCTTGTGTAGATGTATCATGTTGGAGAAAAAGTTGGGGTTTTATAATAATGTGTCGTGTTACGCAATTGTCCAGCAATATCATGGCAATGGACACATTGTACCACTGTGAGTAGTCAGTACACCTATCATCACACAGGGATACATTCTGGTGACCTGTGAAGATCCGGGTTAGAATTGGTCTCCAGCAACCCATGTTTGTTGTAAGAGACGACTAACGGGATCGGGTGGTCAGGCTTTCTGACTTGGTTGATACAAGTCGGTTGTCATTCAGACAAGAAAGTCAATGTTATAAATAAGTATGCAATCGTCACTATAGCTCCGGTTTCAGCCAAATTAATATGCTAATATTAGCCGTCCCAAGTTTTCTGGACCCACGAGCGAAAGAACTGCAAAATGTTAGAGACCGGACATGGACATTGTGACGTCACTTCCGAAACGAAACTATGCTTGCGAATGGGTCCGGTATATTTAACAGAATGGGAATTCCCTGGCCGATAATCGAAGATGCTCTCCACAATGGAGAACATAATACGTAACGTACCCGCAGCGCCGTTGACGATGTAGACGGGGGACAGGGAGTTGGTGTAGTCCCTCTGGGATATACGCTTCTTGTACACAGGGTAGGAGCGTTCGTACTGGTGGTTGTGGCCGCTCATGTAGATGTCGACATTCTGGTAGTAGAGGAGGTCCTCGAGGTTGGCACGGAAACGTGGAGCCTCTATGTCGCACCTGAAAGAGTGAGTGAGTGAGTGAGTGAATTAAACGCCCCTTTGACCAGTATTAAGGTTACATCACGGCGTGATGGAAACCTGAAAAGTAGCTCGTCTTAAAAGCTTACCACTTTGGTAAAACCCACGAGCATGACACACCAAGAAACACAATGACGGAGAGGAACCATGATCATAGGTTTATGGTTGGTTTGGTTGGTGCTAAACGACGCTCTCAGCAAAAACAAGTCCTTCTTAAAGTGAGTGATTATTGTTTTACGCCGCCTGTAGCAATATTCCTGCAATATCAGGGCTTGGACACCAGACATGGGCTTCACACATTGCACGCACGCGGGGAGTCGCATTCGGCTCTTCGGTGTGAGGAGCGAACTCTTAAAACACTAGTGAGTGAGTTTAGTTTTACGCCGCTTTTAGCAATATTCCATCAATGTAACGGCGATGAACACAAGAATTGGGCTTCACACATTGTACCCATGAGGAGCATCGAACACGGGTCTTCGGCTTTGACTACCAGGCTAACCCACCGCCATCTTGTTAAAACAAACATGTTTAACAGGTGTGTTTTTGTTAAACGTCCTTCGTCAAAACTCCTGCTGTAGCACAGTTGTCCGCCAACTAAACTATAAACTACATTTGTACATTTGGCAGCATTACATTTCAGCACAAAATTTGTGTGTCCATGAATAAGTTTTTCAACATGGCTGCAGAAGCCATATTGAAAATCTGATTTGAAACCCTTGCGCATACCCATCACTGGTAGTGCCAAACAGCTGAACCTTCACCTTTACTGGTTAAGTGGTTTCTGAGGAGATGATTACATTGTTAGGATATGAATTTGGAGAGAATTAAAGAGAATGGTGAAAGATCAAAGGCCAAATTAAGATAAAAATGTAAAATATCACTAAAAACGGAAACATTTATTGCACCAGGAACAACAATGACTCGGTAATGACCAGAAATAGATTTTCAACATGGTTCTCGTGGATATACTGAAAATCGGACTCGAACCTCTTATGTTTGTTTGTTTGTTTGTTGTTTAACGCCGCACTCAGCAATATTCCAGCTATATGGCGGCGGTCTGGAAATGATCGAGACTGGACCAGACAATCCAGTTATCGATCTACTGGGATACGATGACGCGTGTCAGCCAAGTCAGTGAGCATGACCACCCGATCCCGTTAGTCGCCTCTTGAGATAAGCATGGGTTGCTGAAGACCAATTCTAAACCGGATGCGCACGGGTTTCAAACTTCTTATGCAAAGCAAATTCATCATTGTGGGAACAGTGACATAACGGCCCCTAACATAAGTTCAGTTGAATTTCAATCAGGTTAGCTAGAATGTATATAACTTTCATAGCCACGATATGGCTTAAATACTGCCGATGTGACTTCAAGTTTTAACTCACTCACTAAAATGTTTAATGCTATGAATAAATCTCATTCAGATCATATGCTAGACATCATCCAATACGGACAATTCGGTTTTGGTTAGGTGAGCTAAACATACCAGTTGTACTGTACACATAACATAACATTCGATGATTACAACTCCATAAAGTTACTTAAAACAAGATACTGAACAGACCGTCAGTCTAACTTTGATGTAAACCACAACGATCCTTTGAGCATTTATTCAATTCAACTGGGTGAAATGCAATTGATCACAGCGCTAAAATCATTCAGTAAAATTGTCTGCGAGATGAAAGTGGGCGAGGATTCCTTTAAATGCCTATAGAAGTAAGCCATTTAAATATCCCCCTCACGTCAAGCCCTCCTTAGTCAGGAGGAAGCGCTACATGTCGCACGAAGACCTGCCCAGTTCTCATTGAAGATCTGGAAATGTAAGTGGAGGCCCAACTGAAGCACCTCAGTGGTTGTCTCTTAATGGCCAGCCCCTTCGGTGGGTGTACTACCTCTCTAGCGCCACACTTCTGTCCATGGAAAAACACCTAAATTACAATCTTGCTTTTATCGCCCAAAAGTAGTACAGCGTGCCTTACTGTGAGTACAACTTACCTCTCTATACAGACGACACTGCCACACAGCAGAGTAGCCCAACATTATCTGACCTAATTCTGGGTACAACTCACCTCTTTATACAGACAACAATGTCAGACAGCAGAGTGGCCCAACACTATCTGACCTAATTCTGGGACAACTAACCTATTTATACAGACAACAATGTCAGACAGCAGAGCGGCCCAACACTATCTGACCTAATTCTGGGTACAACTCACCTCTTTATACAGACAACGATGTCAGACAGCAGAGCGGCCCAACACTATCTGACCTAATTCTGGGTACAACTCACCTCTTTATACGGACAACAATGTCAGACAGCAGAGCGGCCCAACACTATCTGACCTAATTCTGGGACAACGCACCTCTTTATACAGACAACGATGTCAGACAGCAGAGTGGCCCTACACTATCTGACCTAATTCTGGGACAACTCACCTCTTTATACAGACAACAATGTCAGACAGCAGAGTGGCCCAACACTATCTGACCTTATTCTAGGACAACTCACCTCTTTATACAGACAACAATGTCAGACAGCAGAGTCGCCCTACACTATCTGACCTAATTCTGGGACAACTCACCTCTTTATACAGACAACAATGTCAGACAGCAGAGTGGCCAAACACTATCTGACCTAATTCTGGGACAACTCACCTCTTTATACACACAACAATGTCAGACAGCAGAGTGGCCCTACACTATCTAACCTTATTCTGGGACAACTCACCTCTTTATACAGACAACGATGTCAGACAGCAGAGCGGCCCAACACTATCTGACCTAATTCTGGGTACAACTCACCTCTTTATACAGACAACAATGTCAGACAGCAGAGTGGCCCTACACTATCTGACCTTATTCTGGGACAACTCACCTCTTTATACAGACAACGATGTCAGACAGCAGAGCGGCCCAACACTATCTGACCTAATTCTGGGTACAACTCAACTCTTTATACAGACAACAATGTCAGACAGCAGAGCGGCCCTACACTATCTCACCTTATTCTGGGACAACTCAACTCTTTATACAGACAACAATGTCAGACAGCAGAGTGGCCCAACACTATCTGACCTAATTCTTGGACAACTCACCTCTTTATACAGACAACAATGTCAGACAGCAGAGTGGCCCTACACTATCTCACCTAATTCTGGGTACAACTCACCTCTTTATACAGACAACAATGTCAGACAGCAGAGCGGCCCAACACTATCTGACCTAATTCTGGGACAACTCACCTCTTTATACAGACAACAATGTCAGACAGCAGAGTGGCCCAACACTATCTGACCTAATTCTATGACAACTCACCTCTTTATACAGACAACAATGTCAGACAGCAGAGTGGCCCAACACTATCTGACCTAATTCTGGGACAACTCACCTCTTTATACAGACAACGATGTCAGACAGCAGAGTGGCCCAACACTATCTGACCTAATTCTGGGACAACTCACCTCTTTATACAGACAACAATGTCAGACAGCAGAGTGGCCCAACACTATCTGACCTAATTCTGGGTACAACTCAACTCTTTATACAGACAACGATGTCAGACAGCAGATTGGCCCTACACTATCTGACCTAATTCTGGGACAACTCACCTCTTTATACAGACAACAATGTCAGACAGCAGAGAGGCCCAACATTATCTGACCTAATTCTGGGACAACTCACCTCTTTATACAGACAACAATGTAAGACAGCCGAGTGGCCCTACACTATCTGACCTTATTCTAGGACAACTCACTTCTTTATACAGACAACAATGTCAGACAGCAGAGTGTCCTTACACTATCTCACCTTATTCTGGGACAACTCACCTCTTTATACAGACAACAATGTCAGACAGCAGAGTGGCCCTACACTATCTCACCTTATTCTGGGACAACTCTCTATACAGACGACAGTGGTTCAGTAGAACTGACTAACACAATCTGGCCTTACACTGGGAGCCCCGCCTCTCTATGGAGATGACAATGGGACAATAGAACTGGCTAACACAATCTTTATCTTACCTCTCTATACAGACGATGCTGGTACAGTAGAGAGGGCGGTGGCCAAACACCATGACCCACGGAACGTTGTCTCTGTTCTCATTGGCCTTCCTCAGATCCTGCTCCATCCACAGATACTGCGTAGAATTGGGGCTGAAGTCGTGCTCGGTGGAGTAGGCAACGAAATGGATGCCCATGTAGTCGAAGGAGTACCAGAATGGTGAATCCGATCCGCTTTCTTCAGATGGCATCTTTAGCCAGTTCAAATACGCCGCGAAGTCAAACTGAGCCTCGTGGTTGCCAGGGGCAACCATGTAGGGGACACGTGACACTATAGGTTGCAGTTGGTTCATGTACTCAACCCACACCTCGCTGTTGTTGTGGTTGTCGCCGCCGAACTTGTCGGCGTAGCTGATGTCACCGGCGTGAACAAGAAGTTGGACCTCCCCAGTGTTGACATGATTGGTAATAGACGCCATTGTGTCCTCGCCTTTCTTCACGCCCATGTCGGCCACTACCGCTATTGCCGGTGCAGCGGTGGTCATCTCGACCACGTGTTAGTACGGAGTGACTCCAAATTGTCTTGTGTCGCGTTCCTTGCATTTGGAGACTGAAGTGTAAAATTTAAGACGCTGCTATATCCGAACTGCGGATCTCCACATCTGTAATAGTAAACCCCTGTAGGAGACGGAAGTGACGTCAGATTCAAGATGGCGGTGTTCAGGACCCAGAGAAACATGCCGTCAGGATAGGAATAGGCTTCACCGGTGGCATTAACGCCAAGGGAGGTAACTGTTAAACCGTACATACATACGGGTGTGTATTCCGCATCCGACGACCAAGTGGTTGGGTTTAACCACGTGACACGCATGGCTGTTGTACCTTTGAGAGCGAGGTGTACAGCTTGTACACTCGGGGAGACGCTCACTGGAAACTGGAGTTGGTAGGTCCGTTCAATTTCATCTCTGGAGTGAAGTTGTTCAGCGATGCATCCTCCACCGAGTTGATACGAAGGCAGGACATGTGACATCAGCGTCACCATCAGCAACAGCAACACTGCCATCGTAGCCGCTCACAGCTGTGGGGAAAGACCGTTAATTAAACCTGGTAATCATCAAAGTCTGTTTTTTTGTCGTTAAAGCGCAGTATTCCAGTTACTCTAAATCAGACATACCCATGCTTGATATTATGAGGACGGCTCAACACAGTCAGGGAAAGAATACACGTCAAAGGGCAACTGAGGCTGACCACCTGATGCATAACAAGCATTAAATTGTCTTTTACGACAAGCATAGGTCCCTGGAGACCCCTTCCTAAGTTTTAATCGAGGTACGAAGGACTTTATCTAACCGAGGTAACACGGGCCTTTTGTAACCGAGATACCAAGGACCTATTCTAATGCAGGTACTGTTCCAACCGAGGTACCAAGGACCTATTCTAATCCAGGTACTGTTCCAACCGAGGTACCAAGGACCTATTCTAATCCAGGTACTGTTCCAACCGAGGTACCAAGGACCTGTTCTAACCGAGGAACCCAAGATCTTTTCAAACAGTGAAACCAAGGGCCTATTGCAGCCGGGATATCAATAACCTATTCTAACAGAGGTACCCAGGACCTCTTCTTACCGAGATGACCCGTGAAGATCCGCGTTAGAATTGATCTTAAACAACCCATGCTTGTCGTACGAGGCCACTAACGGGATCGGGTGGTCAGGCTCGCTGACTTGATTGACACATGTCATTGTATCCCAATTGCGTAGATCGATGCTCGTGCTGTTGATCACTGGATTGTCTGGTCCAGACTCGATTATTTACAGACCGCCGCCATATACTGTAAACGTACTTATTTTCGCGTGGTGCAATTTTCGCGGAATTGACAGTTTAGACTACATCGCGCGGTCAATTATTCGCGCAATCAGTAATTGCCGGAACTGCCAGCTGTCTCTTTGGCCGCCACTAATAGCAGTGAAAACAAACAGAGTGGCTTAACCTGTCAGGCGGCGTTTATTGCTTACTCACAGGAAATCCCTATCTGTGCGATATACTAGTACGCAGTAACCCGTTTACTCCCGGAAGAGATGAAAAACACATCAGTCTCATGTTCCGAATTCTGACGATCTGACGAATTAACTTATCACTGGATTTTCTGGTCCAGACTCGATTATTTACAGTCCGACGCCATATAGCTGGAATATTGCTGTAGGCGACCTAAAACTAAACTCACTCACTCACTCTTACCGAGATACCAAGTATATACCCTCACCGAGGTACCCAGGATCTATTATGCCCGAAGTACCAATGCTCCAGCAACACCCGTATATCACAGAACTAACAGGATCTGATTATTTTACGCCGCTTTTAGCAAGTATTCCCAATGCGGGGACACCAGAAACACCCCGTACATCACAGAGCCAACGCTTTAACCACTAGACTACCCCACCGCCCCACTAACAGTTTGAACTGCATTAACACATTCAGTTCAACAAGCGTTTTAAAGCTGGACCGTGATGATAACCCCTCGAAACTATGGATCTGTTGAAGAATACAGTTTGAAATTGAGTCGGTGACGTCGGTTTAACGTTGCTTTGATTGTTATTTCAGTTATTAGGGATTGACATAGTGAGCAACGTTCGACGACGTCGGTGTGCACTAACACGTCACCTATGCTGACCATCGATGCGTTAAGTTTTTAACTACATCCAGCATAGCTGGTTTGTTACGCTGCTCTCACCGACAACCCCAACAGCCGCCAACTGGGTGATTCTACACATTCCGCCAACTGGGTGATTCTACCCATTCCGCCAACTGGGTGATTCTACCCATTCCGCCAACTGGGTGATTCTACACTTCCGCCAACTGGGTGATTATACACATTTGCAAGCAATGACTATTCCTGTCAAATGCTTTCAAGTGTTTGAGTATGGTTTTACACCGCTTTTAGCAATATTCCAGCAATATCCTTGCGGAGGACGTCCATCAGAAATGGGCTTCACACATTCAACCCACGTGGGGATGCGAACCCGGGTCTTCAGTCTCATGAGCGAATGCTTTCGACAATGGGCTACCCCAACGCCGAATATATCACAAGTGCGTGAGTTTTGCTTAACGCCGTTTGGAATGGTATTCCGGTTATATCAACTATGAGTGAGTGAGTTTAGTTTTACGCCGCACTCAACAATATTCCAGCTATATGGCGGCGGTCTGTAAATAATCGAGTCTGGACCAGACAATCCAGTGATCAACAGCATCGATCTGCGCAATTGTGTGCTTGAAGTAATGCATATCTCAGACGTTAACAACTTGGGAGAAAATCATGGGTGTGGTACTGTCGAACCGATATTCGAACTCATAGCCATATACTTCTGTCGTGCCCAATGGCCGTAGCTCGGTGAGTAGGCTAGTGGTTAAAGCGTTCGCTCGCCACGCCGAAGATGGATTCACATGAGCCCACATGGGTACAATGTGTGAAGCCCATTTCTGGTGTCCCCACCGTGATATTGATGGAATACTGCATATATACCAAACACACCAACTCACTCACACCGTAGTTCCCCACATCGATTCGTTCCCCTTTAGTTGACTGACGTCCTGGGTCAACTAAGTTCTTACGAAACATACCAGCACGTCGAGTGTCTGAGTCCTTACAATACTAGGATTATGTCCGTTGCTTGACCGCCTCCGCTAGTGGTTAGAGCGTCCGCCCGGAGAGCGGAAGGTCGTGGGTTCGATCCCCGACCGCGTCATACCAAAAGACGTTAAAATATGGTACTTGTTGGTCCCTGCCTGGCGCTCGACATTAATGGGTACAACAAGGACTGGTCAGCTCGGAGTCAGTATAATGTGTCTGAGTGTGGTATATATGCTTCACTGCGGCATGGTATCTCAGTGGGCTAGCACTATAAAACCAGCTTAAGTCTGGGCTAGTACAAGCAGCCGCACATACACATACACACGCATGCACGTCGTCATATGAGCGAAATATTCTCAAGCACGACGTTAAACCCAATTTCACCTCACCTCACCGTTGCTTGTTTGTATACGCCCTCACAACACAACTCACTTCCGGGTTCGCGTATTTCACAGTGGGTTTGTACCATTGGAGTGAATTATAAATACGCAGTTTGAATACTTACATATATACACTGTCCTGGATGTGGAGCTGTAATATTAGCGTCCTCCGTTATCGAAGTACCATGTAGGTGCTGGTGAAGGCAAGATAACATATCCATCACATGATGATAGTGTCGGTGTTCAACAGTGAGCTTGTCAACATTCACCAGTGTTAACATGCATTGATAAGACTGTTTCAGGGACCAGTCATTTGACAATAACACGGAATTAATTTACAAACTCACCTTTTTCAACAACCTCCACAGGCTGACGTGATATTGACCACGTGGGTGCTGGGAGAGTGAGTGAATCTGGTTTTATGCCGTTTTTAGCAATATTCTAGCAGCATCATGGTGGAGGTACATAAAACGGGCGTCACACGTTGTACCCATGTGGGGAATCGAACCCGGGTCTGCGGCGTACGAACGAACGATTTAACAAGACTGATCCCCCGCCCCTATTCTGGGGGGAGATGTTAGAGATGACGTGTGGTCCTGTGCATAGAGTTCAGGTCACGAAGCAGCCGGGATACCGAACCCAGTCAGAGCGGGTGGGTGTGCACTCAAGTGTAACGGCTGGTTCATTTGCAGATGCCGCCCTCACAGCTCATTGTGTGTGTATATATAGAGATGTTGGGTTTTGTAAATACATGCTAATTTTTTGTGTATAACATTTTGCAATCAACAGACATCATAACATGTCATGTGTTCAACTATCACACCTGCCTGTCTGTGTAATTACATAATGTGACAGAGACCGAACTCGGGCCATAAATCAATGCGTTTTGTTTATGGTGTATAGCCTGATTGGTGTTAAGTTCAAATTGCATGTGGTCAGTGATCGCAGTTGTGTATTGAATATTGTCATTAGCAGACAGGCAGGCAGACACACAGGTGTCAATAAAACAAGACATTGAGTTTTGTCTGTGACAACGACATATCTATATCACAGTTAGTAATTCTGTCAACGCTAAATAATGACATTGCTTTTAAGTATCGAACTGAGAAAGTGACTTGGTAAGAAGAACGTGTGGTGAAATAGACAAATGAAATTATAAACAGTTTATTTACTGTCATAACATATAAAAAGCTCGCGCCTGTGAGATATCAACAAAACATTATGAAAATAGCTCACACCAAAGCCTTCACCGAGTATTCACCAGACAGCCCGCTTCCAAGTTGCGCGAACCTATTTCACTGCGCACATGCTATGAGCGCAGCCCAGCTGTTGAAACCCGTTTTCCCCCGAAATTTTCGGGGAAAATTAGTGAATCGTTTGAACTCCGATTTCGCGCGGTTTTTTTCATCGCGTTATTTTTCAACTTTATAACTTGAATTTGCATTTTTGATTATTTGTTTCGGTACGTCCATACCGAAAGGTATCAGAATCTGCAAAGTTGTGTTTTACGTTGCATGTGACCTTTAAGCAACGTTGGGCGCGGAGAGTCCTTGAATGGGTAACCGTGTTTGGCAGCTTGACTCCTGAGAGTTTCTAGTACTTCAGTCCTGCCCCACAAAGAAGCACACATGATACATGTGGTCTCACCTTAGGCAAGTGAGTTTGTTCAAAATAGCCTCTGTTCACCCATCAGAAAATGGGTACCCGGTGGGATGAGTCATGTGACTATAACCTTCTAGCGCCTCACAGCTTGGGTTATCCGGGGTAACAATAATCAGATTGTTGGCGCTGTGAGCATCCCTTGTGAGCTTTAAGTAGGATATAAAGCATGGATATAAATATTCTTAATTAAGAATTAACTAAAAATAATACTCGAAACATGCTACAATATACACCTAGTACCTGCACTATTGTTGGTGATTAGAGTAACAATAGACTGTTGACATGGGATTAATCCGTTTATTCCTACTAATCTAATAAAGAAAAGAACAATTAAACGCTCACTGCATGTGTTATATATTATAGACCAATTGAATTAACACCATTTCATAAAATCAAAGGGGCAATGGGGTAGCCTAGTGATTAAATTGTTCGCTCGTCACGGCTAAGCCCTGGTTTGATTCCCTACATAGGTACAATGTGTGGAGCCCGTTTCTGGTGTCCCCTGTTTCGACGTACCACGACTCCACGACAGGCACAGTGAAGTTAAACCGACACGATGGGATCAGGTGGTCAGGCCCGGTGACTTGTTTAACTGTGTGCTGTGTAAACATTGCCCTTAGTGTTAAATATTGAATAAACTGTTGTAAAAACCTTGGTTGACGTCACCTACTGATTTTGTTAGTTTCAGGTTTCCGTATAATGATCTCTGTTCATCTCTATTGCCAGGTTCAACTAAACTTGAGGCTTAAAGACGTAATGAAGTTTGAGCCACCCGTCATCGTTATTTTTAATACCCATACCATCACGTACTTTCGTTTTGTTTTTTGTTTGTTGTTTAACGCCGCACTCAGCAATATTCCAGCTATAAATCGAGTAAATCGAGTCTGGACCAGACAATCCAGTGATCAACAGCATGACCATCGAGCATCGATGACATGTGCCAACGAAAATCAGCGAATCTTCACGGGTCTCATGTATCTTTAATGACAGTGGTTATTATATTCTGAGCTGACGTACTGAAGTATTTCTATATAACCGTACTAACGTATTCTATACCTGGTACGTCAAGCATCTACCTCTAAAATACCGTATCGTACCTAATTATCTAATCTGTCTCACAGTCCCTGATCCAAGTTGTTTTCCCTACTGCCTAGCCCTCCCTGCAATGCTAAAGCCCTAAATGAAGCAAGTCTAGATTTCTTCAGGCTCAGAATTTCCAATCTCTCACAGGGGCTCTTTTTCAATGTTACATGGGATTATTTGCTACAATCAAAACTATATATATTCAGAGACTATGCGTTGGTCTACTAATTAACTAGTGGGACTCGAACGCCTACAGGATTGGAGTGATACCGAACGAGCGACCAACTCGGCCACTAAGTCCAGGAGGTACACAAGAAAAACATATGGAAGTCGTTCTCTCAAATTCTAATTAGTATATGTTATAATGTGTAGTTTTGCATACTTCGTAATTTGATCATAAACTGAGATGTTTAATCCAATCTGGATTTCATTTTTAAAAAATACTGCATTTTTATCAAAGAAATATATCTGGGGGCACTTTGTTGTCACGAGAAATTCATTGCAAGTCGGAATCTGATTGTTTCCCGGGCGAGTCCACTTTCTGGGAAATAGCAGTCAATATGTGTAGACCGATACTTGAAATATTTTCTCAAAAGTTTTCTGACATGTTTGATCGTTATTTGCTGATATTTATAAACATCCGGTTATGTCTGGGATTGTAGGACGCGAGGAGAGAAGGGGAGGGAAAGTAATTGTGCCCTCGGTCTGACTTTCCCCTTAGCTTTTTCCCTCTGGCCTCTAAATCCAAAGCATAGCCTCGAAGCGCATGTCCCATACAAATCATGATTTGAAATTTGAAATCCAGCAGTTTTCTTGTACTGATAAACCCGTGAAGATCAGGTAAGAATTCAGCTACCCACAATTGTCGTAAAAGCGACTAACGGGATCGGGTTGTTATTCTCGCTGACTAGGTTGACACGTTATCGTATCCCAATTGCGTAGAGCGATGCTGATGCTATTGATCACTGGATGTTCTGGTCCAGACTCGAATATTCAGAGACCGCCTTCATGTAGCTGAAATATTTTGAGTGCGGCGTAAATAAAAAGACCAAATCATGTAAACAATCTCTTTAGTAGCTTTTTTACAATAAGTATGGGGTGCTAAAGGCCAATTCTAACCGGGATCTTCACGGGTGAGAAAAAGAGTCAAACCAGTTCATTAATACAAACCCATTGTCAATTCAGTCTAAATCAAAAGACTTGAAAAGGGCGTATTGTAATGAATGAATGAATGAATGAATGAATGAATGAATGAATGAATGAATGAAAGAATGAATGAATGAATGAAAATGAATGAATGAATGAACCGAATGAATGAATGAATGAAAGATGAGATGAGATGAGATGAGATGAGATGAGATGAGATGAGATGAATGAGAAATCGAGCAAGCGAAGAAACCGTAACTTTTCTACCGTGTTATATGTATGTTACGAAAGTGTGACGACAGAAATGCCAATTTAATTATTGATTTCCGATTACCGCCATTACCATGGGCTTAGGGATGCTGGGCTTGGGCAACAGATACCTTCAAGGCGATGGTACTGCGGCAGGTCGTGGATGTAGAGTGAACAGGTTTAATCTGTACGCCAATCCCTGCCATGTCATGTGGGGATCCACCACAATTGGTACGTGGTGCCTAACTAGAAAATACGAAGGGAGACTTTTATACCATGATCGATGCTTATGTAACGCTGTGGGGTGATGTTTAGTTTTAGGCCGCTTTTAGCAATATTCCAACAATATCACGGCAGGGGACACCAGAAATGGGCTTCACACATTGTACCAATCTGGGGAATCGAACCCGGGTATTCGGCGTGACGAACGAACGCTCTAACAACTGGGCTACACCACCGCCCTGCTGGCGATTGGATGAGGAATTGTACTATTTACTTATTAACTGACTGACTGACTTTTAATTTTATGTATGTTCGGGTGGGGGATTGGAGGGCGAGAGGGGGTGTGTGTCAGGATTCCTATAATTAGATTTGCCAAGACGAATTAGATAACATCAGGGATAGACTACAGCATACATAATCTTCTATTCTCCCTGATAACATGAAACAATGAAGCAATCAAATGGCACCTAAATGGGACGGTGAGGTGAGGATGGAATTTTCAGGCTATATTTTACGGCTGCTTCGTTGACTTTTCGTCCCAGTCCTGGAATACGGGCGATATACTGACGCTTAGTCCCTGAATATATATAATTTTGATAGAAACAAATTAATCCTTTTAAACTGAAAAGGAGCCCCGGTGTGGTGGAAGATTCAGAACTGAGAAAATCTAGACTTGCTTCATTTGATCTTTATCATTTGCAGAAAGGGCTGAGCAAGGGAATTAATGTGGTTCAGGTACAGTGAGATACAGGGATTACGTTGCGGTTGAAATCTTTCACTCAAATGACAGTAATATTGTCGTTTGATTTGTTATCTGTACTGGGCATATCCTGGTTCCCGGGCCTCTATTATTCTATATAAACTAATGAGAGGCCCGGGAACCAGGATGTACTGGGCACAGGAACAAGTTGTTGAAATTCGTTAGCCGTAGTTACTAGCGCTGCGCAATATAACCGGTTTACCGGTATTTACCGGTTCAGACATGAAAACGATACGTATTGCGATACGCTGATCGAAAACCGGTATTTTGACTTGCATTCGGAAAACTTCGTAACACTCGGAAATCTTTGGATATTTCCTTTTTCCATTTGTGCCAAATATTATTCACATTTTTATTTTTAATAATTTTTAATTATTTTGAATAAAAGTTGTTATTAAAGCTTAATCAAGCATAGTGATTTTGCTGTGTATTTGCTCTATAAATCAAGCATTTCCTCGATTATAAGTAGTTTTTGTGTAAAAATACTTCACGCAATATATTGCAATACATATCGCAATACATGCTTTCGCATCGCAATATGAAAGTTCTCTGCAATACCCACCACCAGTAGTTACGTCCCTTGACTGTGCCAGGATTTGTTGATCGAAGGTGAAAAAGACATTGACTAAAGTTGAGAACATACCCATTCAGCTGAAGTGGAACTCACCAGCAAAGTAATGTCTTTCTTATTACGTACTGACGCAACAAACTTCACGGTGGCATTGTTGCTTTTCAAAGTTGGATATGCGTTCACACAACGGGTAGTTCGTCCGATATTGTTGCGAAGTAGATTTAATAGTTGATAGCATGGCGTCAGTGGGGAAAACACAGAGCCTTCTAAGAAGTTTTTCTTTTCCGATTTATTGCCTTTTCAGTACCGGTAGTAGATTTCCTGTTTCGCGGGCTTTCCTCAAACTGGAACTCTATTTCTATTTTCAATCTTTTAAATGAATCAGTTATGGATGTTGGCTGTCTGGTTCTACAGAATAGAGGATGTTTGTGCCTTTCATATCTATGATTTAAGAGATTATATTTTCAGACTGACTGACTGAGTTGGGTTTTACGCCGCTTTTAGCAATATCCCAGCAACATCACGGCGGGGCCTATTTTCAGAGGACAAAACAATATCAATGTAGTAATTATATCTTTTAAATACGAAACACATGTGTTATATTCACGTTGTGAAGTACTTCATGTTCCCACAAGTCTGGAAATAAATACCTGATTCCTGGCATCGCGGAATGTATTTTACACCAACATTGCGAATAAGACATATGTGTCAACGGGCCGTTTGTTCTGCGTGTAAAAGGTTTTAAAGGTTTTATTCACATACAAAACAAATCAAGGACAATATTTTCAACAACCGTTCCCGGACATACATTAGTGTTTTTCCCCATCAGGATATTCGCTGGCCATTTCCAAGGTTGATTAATATCAGGATGAGATACGTCAATTCCTATTCTCCATCTTTCTCCAAACGGGCTATCTTCAACTAACTGCTTAGGATAGGATTGAATTAATATATGTGTCAAGTCATTGTTCTGGGAAACCTTGGTCATAACATCGATACTGACAGTGTCCCGTACTTTCTGAGTGAAAGTCTCCCAAGACATTTTATCTCTGCTGGTGCAATCTCTTGGAGAATGCTGTCCAAAACTCCAAAGTACTAGTACGTTGTTTTAGTGTACATGTAACACTGTTCAACACAATTAAATGTAACACCATCCAAGGTGAACACAGTTGGATGAAAGTTGCTGAATGGAATAGTCAATGATTCCACATGTCATATCCATTGGGTTGCTAAGGAACACATGAGGAACCCCATCTGGGCCCCGTTCCTCGAAGCGATCGTAGCGCCACGACTTTCGTAAGTTTATGTTAAAGTATGGGAGTTAAGATCATGTTTAAGTAGCACTACGATCGATTTGAGGAACGGGCACTGGTTCTGATGATCCTCTTGTGACATACAGGGAGATGGTGAGGTGAAATTGGGTTTAACGTCGTGCTTGAGAATATTTCGCTCATATGACGACGTGCATGCGTGTGTATGTGTATGTGCGGCTGCTTGTACTAGCCCAGACTTAAACTGGTTTTATAGTGCTAGCCCACTGAGATACCATGCCGCAGTGCGTTCTGGGTGAAGTCTTTCACACATCTGCCAAAGCGTTTGTGCTTGGCTGGTTCAGCCTCTTGGAGAATGCATTTGCACTGTCCAAATCTCTGAAGTACATTGTTTTAGTTTGCATGTGACACTGTTCAACACAATTAAATGTAACACCATCAAAGCAAGGTAAACACAGTTGGCTGAAAGTTGCTGAATGGTGACGTCATTCTGACGTCAGAAGAATAGTCAATGATTCCACATGCCATATCCATATTGGCGCTGCAAAAGGAACACACGAGGTAGCCAATCTGGTTCTTCATCACCCCATGTTTTTACTGGGACATTCACGCCAATGTCCAGGTGACATAATTTAGATTTTGAAGTTTTACCAGGGTCTCGTTATCACAGCTGATCATTTCCAGGCCTACCAAAGAAAACTTTCCCACTGTGCAGAAAAACGCAGAAAAGCCCACATTAATCGTGGAAATAGCAACATAAACATAATACCTCGCTACTGAAACAGTGAAAACGGCAACTTTAAATCGCTAACACTGCATCATAAAACGAGGAGCCCGCAACTTCGATTTTGCGCATGCGCACATGGAAGAGGAAGTCTCGACCGCATGTTGACATTTTCCAGCTTGGACAAAAGTTACATTTCTTTTAAAGTATTTCTGTTGTGTTATTTGTCATTTATCATCATGATACTTGTGTGCACACTTGTTTAGTTTACTTTCCATCTGTATGAAACAACTGACAGCGATTATTTCGACATATTTAATACTTTTTTTACGCGAGGCGATTCACGGTTGCTCGGAAATTGGAAAGAAGCCCGGATCGTAATGCACATGCGCAGTAGAGGTCAAAGTTCGCTGATTACTATGAAAGCTATGAAAATGTTGCAGTTTCATAGTTTTTCGTTGCAGTTTTTACTGTTTCAGTAGCGAGGTAATGTGTTTATGTTGCTATTTCCACGATTAATGTGCGCTTTTCTGCGTTTTTCTGCACAGTGGGAAAGTTTTCTTTGGTAGGCCTGATTTCAGCGGCTCTTTGTTCACCACTGTTCACAGGGGCTTGGTAAAATCTACCATAGATCTCTGGTCCTCACCTTGGAAGGGTATCTAATAAGGCTCTGATACGCTCATAAGATGTATCTTCTTTCAACGATATACAATATAATAAAAAATGAACATGATCATCTTTAAGTAGCGCTAGGATCGATTTGAGGAGCGGGCCACTTATTCTGGTAATCCTTTTGTGACATACAGGGAACTAGTATAACTACTAGGAAAGGGATATAAAATAGCTCCCAGGACAGTGATTTTAAAACATCATAGAGAAAGAAATAGAACTGACCATTATATCCGAAAAGCACAGATTCTAGTACTTTTATAGGGTTGAGTCCCATCCGGGATTCGAACCCACACCCTCAGAGTCAGGCACCTAATCGCAAGTTGTCGGACAACTGGTAGTCTATTCTGCGGACTTTGTGTACCCCTCTGATAAGTGTTAATTGGCACGGCCCCACGGCCGAAAGCTATGAAATACACAGTGCCATTTAAGAAAGTGGTCAAATGTAACATATGTTCTATTTGGGATTACACTTTCTCAGTAAAGTACAGATTCTAGTAGGCTACTTTTATTGGGTTGAGTCCCATCCGGGATTCGAACCCACACCCTCAGAGTCAGAGTTGTTTTGTGTGTGTGTGATGATTTTTTATGGAGAACATGTACAATGTGAATGACCCCCCCTAAAATTTATGTACAAAGTAAGTGACCCCATGCATGTCATGTACAAAATCAATGCACACACACACAATGTTTTTATACATAATTTTCAAATATTTTTATGTACAAAATTGCTGCCCCCGAAACATATGTACAAAATTGATGACCCCCTACGTCCCCAGAACAAACAGGGTGACCCCCTTAAAATCATCATCACCCCTTACCCATAAATTATTCAAGGCCCCTAAATTCTTCTCGAACCTATTCTACACCGTCCCATGCAGCAGCATCTTGTTTTGTTCGACCAAACGACACTTTGACAGTCACTCTCTATATGACCAAAGCCATCGATATGCTGTACATAGCGAAATATAGATTAAAACTGGTCACCAGGCTAAACTCTCAAGTATAGCCTTTCAGAAAACCCACTACACCTCCTTACGTGCTCGCTTCGAAAAGCGCCACAAAAGGGGAGTAACTCTAATTTACATGTAACTCTTCATTAGAGGAGAAAAAGTGAACGTTTCATGTGGTCGTGTCTTTTTTCGGTAAAATCGTTGAGAGTAATATTCTGTCTTTCATCTGTCTACTAAGGCCCAAATATGGCCACTACGCCAGTAAAACGTAATGTTAATAAACCGGTAGCAAACGGAACAGACACCGCGTCGATTGTGTCGAAAGCTTTTACACAGGACGCCGAATGGACGGACAAGGTTTGTAAGACTTGAAATTCGTGCAGTTTGGCTTGGTCATGCCGCAATTTACAAGAAACTAAATTTACGACTTAACATACATGGAAAATGCCTGTTTGTTTCTTTACTTTATCGAATAATAATACCAGATAAGCAACCTGTTTAAAATAAGCTATTTGTGGCCTGGATGTGTTGAACATTACCGGGTTATTTTTATCTAACTCAGAGCTCCAGATAAGATTTAGCTCATGTGGGTACTGTACCCACTGTATTTTTTTGGAGTGGGTATTATGAATGTTGAGTGGGTATTTCATTTTCCGTTACCCACTGCTTTCAAATATGTGCGTATTTCAGTCATATTACTCACCTAAGTATTATGTCATTGAGTAAGTTTACTAAGCGGGTATGTTCTGCCTTATGTCATACCTAATCAAAACTAAGTTAAATATAATGGAAATGATTTCATTAATGAATCACTCATCCTATACTGACAGTACAACTTGATAGCAATCGATGTCTTTTTCATTACGTAAGCTATTTTTATAAATACATTCCGTACGCATTTGTTTTGAACTTTTTGCGTATCTAATATTTTCAATGCGTAATTGGTACGCAACAATTATTTTTCAATGCGTAATTTGAAATTTTCTATGCGTATTTTACCCGGATACGCAGCTTATCTGGTCCTCTGCTAACTTGAAGGTTTTTGCAAGTTCAGACACTGAACTGGTATGCATTGAGTGAGGGGTTGTTGAGTGAAGTTATTTTTCTCATACTAAGTGGATTTTGTAACGGTTTAGCTCACTTTTTTTTACTGAGTGGATAATAACCACTCTATGTTTAGTGATCATGATACTTCAAATATTGAAAATCAATGTGATATCTGTGGTATCACAGATCCGTAATTACATAACAAGCCTATCATTCTAAAACACTGTATTCATTTTGCTCCAAGCAGTTGTAGAATCTGACATCCATGTGAAACTTACCATCTACAGCTCCTTGCAAATGCAGATATCTGTCATGTCATATCTACATGCATACAATAGTGAGTGACTTGGGTTTTAAGCCGCTTTTAGCAATATTCCAGCAATATCACGGCAGGGGACACCCGAAATGGGCTTCACACATTGTGCCCATGTTGGGAATCGAACCCAGGTCTTCAGCGTGACAAGCGAACGCCTTAACCACAAGGCTACCCCACCGCCCACTTGCATACAATAACATGATGGTTGCTTTCTTTCAGGACGAGTTTCTTGATGTGGTATACTGGTTGCGACAGATCCTCGGTGTTGTAATTGGATTGATCTGGGGACTTATACCTCTGAAGGGGATTCTTGGTCTTGGACTGTAAGTCTTCTGTTGCAGTTGTACCATGTCTTGACATTTTACAACAGACCATAGCAAGGAGGATAAGATAGAGCATTGTTAATTTTACATTAGATGTTATGGTGTTGTTTAGAAAGTTTGCAATCTTCCCTTTAAGTAAAATTGATAATAGTGGATTAATACCCATATAAATATTTCTTAATCCCAGGATTTGTTTCATAAGTTATGATAATCCCTGTTGACAGCTTTTTCATCATCAACGTGGCCATCGTCTACATCTACTACAACAGCTTTCAGAGGGTCGATGAGGAGGAGTATGGAGGAGCATCAGAGATTTTAAAAGAAGGATTAATGACTTCATTTTCTTCATTTTTGGTAAATACCGATCTTTGTGGTGTTGAACTATCGTTTGTTTTTCATTTAATTCCACACTTTGTATAAGAAAGTTGACACCCTAGCCTTTAGCTCACTGGTTATCTGAACCAAGTGTGACTTACTAGTGACTTAGTCTCCCTGTTTCCGGACCGCCTCCGTGGTGTAGTGGTTAGAGCGTTCGCCCGGAGAGCGGAAGGTCGCGGGTTCGATCCCGACCGTGTCATACCAAAACACGTTAAAATATGGTACTTGTTGGTCCCTGCCTGGCGTTCGGCATTAATGGGTACAACAAGGACTTGTCGGCTCGGAGTCAGTATAATGTGTCTGAGTGGGGTGTTCATGCTTCACTGCGGCATGGTATCTCAGTGGGCTAGCACTATAAAACCAGTTTAAGTCTGGGCTAGTACAAGCAGCCGTACATACATACACACGCATGCACGTCGTCATATGAGCGAAATATTCTCAAGCACGACGTAAAACCCAATTTCACCTCACCTCACCTCACCTCCCTGTTTCCAGTTGATCGAGCAATGTGATGTGTGTGGAAAACTGTACAGAAGTGTCCCAATTTCAGACATTTATTATTTCTGTGCTGTGTTGCAGGTGTCATGGATCATACTGTACTCCTCCCTCCACACGGACTCCTAGCACCGAGCGACCACGGCTTCATACCATCCTACAACACAGCCAGGCTCACAAGCAGCAGCCACACTGATGCTTCTCATTTCATCAACATGTAAATTTACAGTTAAATATAAACAGAATCTGTACATTTGGAATACTGTCAGCTAGTTAATGGTTATACTAGCATACTGACGTACTTAGTTAACGGTCATAATGATAACATAAGTTTATGAACATACAAACTGATTGAGAAGTACATTCTTAAATTAGTTAAAATGCTTAAGGGTTAATGGTTGTATAATTTTCAGATATTTTAAATAGTTTGTGATTTCTTGTACAGGTTTACGACGGTTGATTGGGGAGTGGATTCCATGCTCTTTCTCTTCTCAGTTGCTTTTTTCACTTTTGTAGGAAAGGGGATGTTGGCTGTGAATATTTATTTGCTGAGTTGTGCAATCTTGATGTAACCATAACTTAAGCCTTGTGTCAGCATCCCCCTTCATAATAAGATGGTGGTAGCGTAGCCTAGAGGCTGAAGCGTCCGCTCATCAAACTGAAAACCCGGGTTTAATTCCTCACATGGGTACAATGTGAAGCCCATTTCTGGTGTCCCCCGCTGCGATATTGCTGGAATATTGCTAAAAGTGGCGTAAAACCATATTCACTCATAATCAGAACCAGTAATTTAAAGACAGTCCCTGTCCACACAGAAACAGTGTCTCGGTCACTCCATGCGGTACACAGGTTAAACAACCAGGAGTGTTGTCAGATGTCAGTGACTATGATGGACTGTTTGACCAGTGTGAACAAAAGCTGAAAATATGTGCCAGTGCAATGCAACATTTAACTCTGACACAAAGTTTATTGTTTATTGATCAAATTTAATTTAATTTTGGGGAATAACTGATCATATTGTGTCTGTATAAAGCAGGTGGTTAACTTACTGATGCAGGGTACCACAAAGCAATCCTAGCTCCATGACTAAGCCAATGCTATAGTATGTTAAGTACAGTCACTGTGGCACTATGGAGTGTCACCTGATCACTATTTAATTTTAACTGTACTCAGTCATACAGTGTCATGGTGTGTTTGTATTATCCTGTTTAACCCAAAAAATTATTTTTGGAAGAAAGAAAAAAAAGGTTTCCTTCATGTAATCACAGAAAGCCATAAATTGAAGGACAATTTCATTAGTTTCGTGGAATACAATAATATCCTGTTTCTCGTTGTTTCCAATAAATTTGTTAATTTGATCTGAACTGACATTAATTAGGATTACAGAACATTATCATATGACTGCACTGATGTAGGTTGACTTTTTCTTTGTGTTTTGGATCTGAGTTTTGAATCAAAGAATTTACAAAATGGTTAATTTCTGATTGTAAGAGTCTGTCAAATGATGCTGCGATGCACTTATGAACCCACCAATTTATTTCCAATAATGTTAATGATAAATACAGAGAAAATGGAGTTAGCTATGAAGCTATTGTACAGGGATGATCAAGATCTGTCCAGGGGCTGATGTTTGGCTCCAGATCTCAATCCATGGGCAGCTAAGATTAAATATATGGAGCTGACAAAATCCCATCGGTTATTTTAGCATTAGCTAATGTTCTTGCTGTGCATGGACAACTTTCTTTCTTTTTACACTAAATGGAATATTAAAATACACAGGAATCACAGACTTTTAAGAATTTCCTAATTTGGACCCAAAATTACGCCTTTTTCCTCATTTTGTCTGCTAAGGACACATAGTTAGTAACCGTAGAGAAATGCGTAACCAGAATAAAGAGAGTGTGTAGGTGTGTAGTTAGATTCAGCCTGATAATGATTCATAGTTTAGCACCATGTTCATGGTTGTAACCAAAATGTTAAATTGCTAAAAACTGCATCACATCAGATGCTTCTCCCGTTAAACTTGATGTAACAAAGATATAGGGGCACACCTGTCTTCATCACATTTGTCTCAATGTAAGGGAAAGTGGTGTAAGTTATTGCAACTCTTTGCTCAGAGTTCTGTCCCTTAGCTAGCAAGAACTGCTAACGATTTGTGTCATGATCTGGTCTGTCCATGCCAAGAGCATGTATTTGATATCAGCTAAGCAGTATGTGTCTATACCTGCTTCACTGCATATTCTGCAACATTAAGTTGTGATGCAGTGAAATAACTGTAGTTGTGGTCAAACTTCAATTCACCTTCTCTCTCTCCCTCTAAAATGCATTAGGGGCTGTGGGGTAGCCTAGTGGTTAAAGCGTTGCTCGTCACGCCGAAGACCCGGGTTCGAGTCCCCACATGAGTACAATGTGTGAAGCCCATTTCTGGTGTCCCCCGCTGTGATATTGCTGGAATAATGCTAAAAGCGGCGTAAAACTAAACTCACTCACTCACTCTAAAATGCATAAATATGTCTACTTGATATTCAATTTTTCCTTTATGGTAACATATGGACACAAACTGCATAATTCTTTCAGTAAGGAAGAAATAAAAACATTAGGATGAAAATCGTGCATTTGGCATATGAATCAAATTACATCAATAATTTCCTGACGAGGCTGAACTGAAACTAGTCTCTTGTTTTTGTAATCAAGTACTACCTGTACATGAATACGTTATAGAGTTTCAGTTGCAATCCTCACTTAGATAAAACCATTAGTTTCATGTCTTCTCCATGAGCATCCATCTCAATATTGCTTATGTATACTACCCATCTAAAGTTTAGACTCACTAGTGTGAATGTAGCCACTTACTTCAGTCAACTGTTCTAAACTTGATTTTGCAAAATATTCCATTCAGTTTAAAGGTGCTGTTTACACATGAACTGAGGTATTGTAAAACATATTCGTAACGTTGAAAAGATTATTGTCATGAGTTCAGTAAATGGTGAAAATTGGTGAATTCTTAACAAAACTTTACATCAAAACGCCACTGTTCACATGCACGATATTTGCACATGCCTTTTAGCAATTTGATGCATGATCCTCGTACATTTTATCTGCATAAGGTTTGCAGTTGGTTCCCCCAAGTTAGTGGAGAAATTCATCTCTGATGTAACCATATATTATACATAACAAATAGCGAATGCTTTAGGTGAGTCTAAACTTTTGATGGGTAGTATATAAAGGAGGTTGTGTACTATTGAACAATTTTGTTTTAAAGTTGATGCTTTTTTGTATTTAAAAAAAAAAATGCCATCTTACAACTACTACAGTGAAAATCCATTCTTAAAGTTAATTTATGCATTTTCTTTTTTGAAAACCCACCCGTCTCTACCCTTGCTTTATTTTCCAAGACAAATCTGCAAAACAAAACTTGGTCTTGGTTAGTTGTGATGATGGGCGGTGGGGTAGCCTAGTGGTTAAAGCGTTAGCTTGTCACGCCAAAGACCCGGGTTCGATTCCCCACATGGAGTACAATGTGTGAAGCCCATTTCTGGTGTCCCCCGCTGTGATATTGCTGGAATAATTGCTGGTAAAACTAAACTGCTCACTCACTCTAAAATGCATAAATACTTGATATTCAATTTTTCCTTTATGGTAACATATGGACACAAACTGCATAATTCTTTCAGTAAGGAAGAAATAAAAACATTAGGATGAAAATCGTGCATTTGGCATATGAATCAAATTACATCAATAATTTCCTGACGAGGCTGAACTGAAACTAGTCTCTTGTTTTTGTAATCAAGTACTACCTGTACATGAATACGTTATAGAGTTTCAGTTGCAATCCTCACTTAGATAAAACCATTAGTTTCATGTCTTCTCCATGAGCATCAATCTCAATATTGCTTATGTATACTACCCATCTAAAGTTTAGACTCACTAGTGTGAATGTAGCCACTTACTTCAGTCAACTGTTCTAAACTTGATTTTGCAAAATATTCCATTCAGTTTAAAGGTGCTGTTTACACATGAACTGAGGTATTGTAAAACATATTCGTAACGTTGAAAAGATTATTGTCATGAGTTCAGTAAATGGTGAAAATTGGCGAATTCTTAACAAAACTTTACATCAAAACGCCACTGTTCACATGCACGATATTTGCACATGCCTTTTAGCAATTTGATGAATGATCCTCGTACATTTCCTCTGAATAAAGTTTGCAGTTGGCTTCCCCAAGTTAGTGGAGAAATTCATCTTTGATGTAACCATATATTATACATAACATATAGTGAATGCTTTAGGTGAGTCTAAACTTTTGATGGGTAGTATATAAAGGAGGTTGTGTACTATTGAACAATTTTGTTTTAAAGTTGATGCTTTTTTGTATTTAAAAAAAAATAATTAAAAAATGCCATCTTACAACTACTACAGTGAAAATCCATTCTTAAAGTTAATTTATGCATTTTCTTTTTTGAAAACCCACCCGTCTCTACCCTTGCTTTATTTTCCAAGACAAATCTGCAAAACAAAACTTGGTCTTAGGTTAGTTGTGATGATGGGCGGTGGGGTAGCCTAGTGGTTAAAGCGTTAGCTTGTCACGCCAAAGACCCGGGTTCGATTCCCCACATGGGTACAATGTGTGAAGCCCATTTCTGGTGTCCCTGCCGTGATATTGCTGGAATATTGCTAAGAGCAGCGTAAAACCATACTCACTCACTAGTTGTGATGACACAATACACTTCTGTCTGTACATGTTGTGCTCTGTATAACTTGCCGTCTATATCTTGACTACACAATGTCTGTTTGTATGTTCAATGCGTGCCATCAGTGACCAGTCTGTCAGTGAGGGGTGGTGGCATCATATGACCCTAGTGACCGATTGTCACGGCGGCAGAGTAGCCAAGGGGTTAATGTGTTCCCTTGTCTTACCAAAGACAAAGGTTTCAGTTCCTTCATGGGTATAATTTGTGGACCCAATTACAGGGCCCCCTGCAGTGATATTGATGGAATATTGCTAAAAGTTGTGTAAAACTATTCTCTTTTGTCAATCATGGTCATAATGTAACCAGCACAGTACTTTTCATCAACCCAAAGTAAACATCTAATGATACTTTTTCATCTGTTTTAGAATTTCAATTTAGAGGTAGTTATCAAGCGATTATACAAGTCGCTGCTTATCCCATAATGGCAGGTCATCAGATGTTCATGAACATATACTTCTAAAATGAAGTTACAGGATGACCTTACTTTTTCCGATAGCTGTAGTTAATCTGTCATTACTAATTAAATATACCATGACAGATTAACCATAGTAAAGTGAAAGAATAAAGTTTTCGTTACCTTCCTTTGATTAGTACATAACACTGGTCGATTACCATATAACACTACAAAAAGGGAATCCCATTGTGCCATTAGGTCACATGTTGTCAAAGGTCCTCCAGCCTTATGGTATTGCTTGATGACTTCCTCTAAAGCAGTTAACTCCAGTTCAGCAGTACTGAAAAGCGATGCAATGGTTTTGGTATCAGCCTTAACGGTGACACTGTCTATATCTCAGAAGGTAAAGTGTAGTAGATGTCTTCAATAGTAAGTGATGTTCCAGATGACAGTTGTAGTTAATTTCTTCTTGTCTGACTTATGGAATTGTATTAAGCGACCTGATGTATCATCTTCCAAATGATATTGTTCCAGTTGTGTATCACCACCAAAATATATCCATGTGTATATGTATTTTAATAAACCAAGATTATCATGTTATAGCCAATTGTCTTGTGATTGAAGGGAGACAACTCATGTGTGATTATGACTTCAACTTAGATGAGATTCTTTGCATTCTAAGCATTATGTAGGAACAAAAATAAATAAATTAGAATTAATTTATAAGAACCTTTGACTATTTATTGGTTCTTACTAATTTGAGAAGGTTCATACCTCAACACAGAAAACATACAGTTCAGTTAATATTTTACCTTGCAGATGGCCTCAATGGCTAGGTTGATCAGGTCTGCCTGGCCAGATGAACATCGGTGGTTCAGTCAATGTAATGTTATACCAAATGACCATTATGAAGGGTATAAAAGGCATTAAAGGACTGTTCAGCTTGTGTCAGTTTACTTTGGGTGGAATAGTTGTATAGAACAGCAGCGTGGTATCTCAGTGGGCGAGCTCCAAAATTGCCAGCTTTATTTAAGGAAGTGCATTTGGGTAGCCTTGTATTAAAGTGCATGCCCCCTTACATCTGCCTTCGATCCCAAAGCTGGGTATTTAAGCTATTTGGAGCTTACACTGATTTGCTGAGGGGGACCCCTTACACTGATGAGGCCGGACTATTGCTGAAGGAGGTTTCAAACACTTACACTGATGAGGACT